GGAACTTATGCAGACTTAACCAAGAAGACTCATACTGTAGTTGCCTCTGCAGAAATATATACACAGAACCCCTATGACAAAGGAATCCCATTGTATACAGTGATTCAGATCTTCTCAGATAAGTCATTTGGGATATTTTGCAAGGGTCACCAAGTTGTAACGTTGAACTGGTTTGCATCTACATTACTTGAATCCTTCTCTTATTCTACTTGGCATCATTGTGATCTCTTATGCAAAATATGCTGATGACACTCAACCTTTTTAAGTCAGAACTGCTTAAGGTTTCAGCCAACTCAACCCTTCATCGTATTTTTCCAGTCAGTTAGTTGTGCAAGGTGCAATCATGTTTGATTATCATCTGTCTGGCACTGCAGGTTTACCTTGTACAACATTAATAGGATTAATAGGAGGATCTGGCACTTTCTAACTGTACAACTCCTTGTTCAAACTCCTGTTTTGTCTTGGTTTGACAATCCGTATTATTCCTTCCAACCAACACTATCACAAAACTGAACCAATGTGGCAACGAGAGTGATTATTAATAAGCCAAAAACAAGTGACTGGCTGGAGACTTGCACATGCATGATCAGACACACTCTTAGACACATGCACTCAATAGAGATAGTGATGTCACAGTGAGGGGTAGGGCCAGGTGTACACTACAAAAGCATGCATGTCTGAGAGCTCCAAACCTCTGTTCATCAATCTCTATAAAGCCAACCACAGGCTCTGCACCACATACCTTAATTCACTGCTTCAGATCTATGTGCCCTCCAAAAAGTGCTCAGTAGAAGCACACAATCAATTTCAAGGACTTTCTTAACAGTTTCATGCTGGTGGATCAACCTGCCTAACTTAACCAGAGCAGAGGTGAATTAAGCTATTTTCAAGAAATGTGTCAAAGGTTTGTCAACATTTGACCTTCTAACAAGCATTTTTTATTCTATTTCTTTTTAAATTAATTTATGAACTCATTTATTTATTGTCAGTAATATTTGCACTGAATTGTACTAACTGAGACTCGTCATACCTACACTGTATAACTGGTTTTTGCAATTTTGATTCCTTCTATTTTCTTTTTGAATAAAAGCATCTGCTTAATGAATAAATATAAATAAATAAACATGGTTATTTTGTGTGGAAATTGAAACTGGTATTTCAACATCAAAGAATGACAAAATGCAGAAATAATGGACTAAGTGCTCTCTAAAGGCACTGTTCATCTTATATTTTCAGATTTTTATTTTCCTTCATGGTAAAACATGTCCCTCAAATTTCAAAACTTGTCTTGATTACTTTTCAGGACCGGTGGTCATTATTTGGGTGTCCATAGGTCTAAAAGTGTAACATTGTCTTCATAGTTAATTTCACTTCTCTTGAAATAATAAATGATCTAAAGGCACATAAGGGCCTCCCAAATCAAAACCACCTGGGCCCAAGAATGCCTGTGTACCTCATTGTTTCTATGGACTCCCGCAGTTGAAGAGTACATTACCTCATCTTCTTCGCACCTATTCCAAATATTTCATCTGTAAACGAAAGTCAATGTTTGAACATAAATGTTTTTATGCTTGAATATTTGTCTCCAAACAATTGTATATCATGTTCATGATTTAGTATTTAGTATTTAGATTTAGTATGATTTATGATTTTGCCATCATTTGCATATGTTGTTTCACACCTGTACCTTCAATTTATTGCATTCAATCAAACAATCAACAAATCAACCAATCAACAAACAAACAAACAACCAACAAACCAAACAACCAACCAGCCAAACAAACAACCAACCAACCAAACAAACAAACAACGAATCAACTAACAAACCAAACAACCAACCAACCAAACAACCGACAAACCAACCAACCAACCAACCAACTAACCAACAAAACAACCAACCAACCAACCAAAGAACCAACCAACCAACCACCAACAAACCAACCAAACAATCAAACAAACAACCAACTAACCAATCAACCAACCAAGTAACCAACAAACCAAGCAAGCAAGCAACCAACCAATGAACCAACCAGCCAACCAACCAACAAACCAACCACCAACAAACCAACCAAACAATCAAACAAACAACCAACTAACCAATCAACCAACCAAGTAACCAACAAACCAAGCAAGCAAGCAACCAACCAATGAACCAACCAGCCAACCAACCAACAAATCAACCACCAACAAACCAAACGACCAACCAAACAATCAAATAAACAACCAACTAACCAACCAACCAACCAAACCAACAACAAACCAAGCAACCAGGTAACCAATCAACCAACCAAACAACCAACAAATCAAGCAAACAACAAACCAGCAAACCAACCAATCAACCAACCAACCAACCAACAAACCAATGAACCAACCAACAAACAAACAAACAAACAAACAAACAAAACAAACAAACAAACACACAAACAAACAAACAAATAAACAAACAACTAACCAACCAAACAACCAACAAACCAAGCACCCAAGCAACCAACCAATTAACCATCCAACCAACAAATCAACCAAACAACCCAACAAACAAGTAACCAAAAAAAACAAACAAACAAAAAAACAAATAAACAACCAAACAAACAACCAACTAACCAACTAACCAACCAAGCAACCAACCAACCAACCAAACAAACTAACCAACCAACCAACCAACCAACCAACCAACCAAACAAACAACCAAGTAACCAAATAAACAACCAATCAACCAACCAAAACCACCAAAACACCAAGCAACTAACCAACCAACCAACTAACCAACCAACAAACCAAACAAACAAACAACCAACCAAACCAACCAACCAACCAACCAACCAAACAAGCAAAAAAACAAACAAACAAACAAACAAGCAAACAAACAACTAATTAACCAAACAACCAATCAAACAAACCAAACAACCAACAAACCAAGCAACAAGCAACTAACCAACAAACCAACCAACCAACCAACCAACCAACCAAACAAACAAACAAACAATCAAAAAAACCAAACAAACAACCAACCAACTAACCAACCAAACAACCAACTAACCAACCACCCATCCAAACAACCAACAAACCAAGCAAGCAACCAACCAGCCAGACAACCAACCAAACAAGCAAACAACCAACCAAAATTAACAGGTTTGAAACAAAATGGGGGTGAAAAAATAAGGAAACACTTTTATTACTTAACACCTTGGAATTTACTTGACACCTTTATAATTCTGGCATGACACACATTATAAATATCATCAAATAGACTTCTCAAACAATGTCACCTTTGCATTGACAAAATGACCTAACTGAGCGAATGACACTTATTTACAGCTGTCTTAAGCAAGCATAAAATCTCATTTGTATTCATGAAGTGTCATGTCATAACTATAATTGTGTTATGATGGTCTCATGAATACCCCCTTTAAGTTAAGTGTTACCATCCATAAATACTGAGAAATATTCATTTTAAGGTGAAAAGGGACATAACTAATAAAAAAATAAAGCTGAAAAATCAACAACTCTATGGTAATCATAACATTTCTAATCTCCATTTTCATCATCAACAGGGATCTCCAATTGTATTTCAGAGCAAATGAAAAAAGCAGGGAAGTTTTTGTACTTTCATGTTTCTGTTTGATGAAAGCGGTTATGAAATTTCCTTCCAGCCCCAATTCAACAGAGCGCCTCACAAAAGTTTTGTGTATTCAAGTTTCTAGGTATGTGATAATTATCAAGACACAAAATGAGTGAAATGCAGGGCAAGTCGGGTCTAAAAAGAACTTGTTAAGCCATAGCTTTTATGATTTGATGTGCCATGCCCAGACAACACTTTTGGTATTGCCAGATGTTAAGAACTATTTAAAAAACACTGAACAGACTGAAGAAGGCCGGGAAGCGTGAAACAGTTCAAACTTGTCTTTTTAATTAAGTTTTGCATGTTGTAGAGAGTAATCCTTTAGCTCGCTGAAACAACAACTCTCTCTCTCTCAAAAAAAAAAAAACATACCAGTCTCTACTTATGGACACCCCCCCCCCCCAATCTTGAGTGTGCAGACTTGCTTTTTTCTACACTGTAAATCCCAAAAAGTTAAGGTAACTCAAATTATTTGTGAAAACTGATTGCAACAAACCATTTAAGTTCAAAAATTAATCCCAGTGAGTATTGTCAACTTAATCCATGAGTAAATGAAGCAATTTGAGCACAGTAAAACCCAATAAATGAAGAGAGCTCAAATCAACCGAGTACTGTAAAACCCAATAAGTTAAAGCAACTCCAACCGTTTAAGAAAACCGGTTGCTACACACCATTTGAGTTTTAAAAAAAGTAATCTATATGAGTACTGTAAACTTACTCCATTTAAATTGAAGTACTGAGTTCAAAACTCTCTTCAAATGAGTAGAATTCACTTTTAAATCAATTTAAGTGTAACTACACTCATTTCATTTGATAAAGTTGACTGTTTTGTTTTACTGTGTGAATTCAGCCCCTTAAAGCCCCACATTACACAACATAATCACAAACCAAAATATAACACAGGAATTGTACTTAAACCTTTTTAAGCATTCTACAATACATATTTTAGGTACACATACAATTATGTATCTGGTATATTCTGCAGTTATTATGGCACTGTTTGTACATGTATACCTGAAATGAGCTGAATTCATTAAATATATGAGGTTAGATAAATGAACACCACATTCAACAGAATATAACATGTAGACAGTCAGCACACAATCCAAAAGTAGCTAAACAAAAAAGCACACACACATCTGTCTGCATAAGCTGTCCTTTGAACATTTGGGAATATACAATTGTAACTCCATCTGAAATAGTTTTAAATCCTAAAACTGCCAAAAATGGTTCTTAAAAGAATCAATCTACCACGAGGCATTTAACAACTACTCTGTGTTTACAGACAGACCCAGCAGCAGCAGCTAATTAAACAGCAGCAGCACTGTAGCTCCGCCCACTCGCCGCGTCATTCCACACGGCGAATCGCGTGCATGTGTTAAAACTGAGCCTTTACTGTTTCGGCTGCATCCTTTGTGAAAGAGTTGTCAAAGTTGACCAAAAGGGAGGCGAACTTTTATACTAACACACAGACGAAAAGTGCTCAGCTGTTCAGTGCGCGCATGGTACTTTTCACAGAGCACCGCTGGAGGATTCGCGGCATTTTTCATTGATTTGGATTAGATTTTCTTCAGGTCATGGAAATACAAAGTGCTAACACGATGGTAAGTTTTAGTTTATAACTTCACTGAGTCTTCCTTCACAGAACTAATGTCGCTTTCCCCCCTGGCTGGTTTTGCCAGTACGTTCATTGATATATGTTAAATAACGGACTTCTCTCTTGATTTATCCATAGTGAGGCATTACCTCACTCTATGGTTATACTAGAGCTTGTTACTGTATCTATTATCATTTAAAATACCCATTGTTTTTAACTGTGTACTTTTTAACGGTACATTTGTGCGTTTGCCAACTTTTAAATAGAGTCAGTTGGCAAGTCATGCCAATAAAGCTCTTATTTTTGGATTGAATTGAATTGAGTCTGTTGGCAGTCGAAGTTTTCAGCTCTGGTCTCATAACTAATTCGGGCACTACATTTATTTGTACATTTCTTTCCAAAGATTTACTCAGAGTTATGCTTGTAATTATCATTTAAACGAGGTAGCTTTCATATCAGTCTTAAAGAAAGAAAAAAACTTTCAGTCTGCGTGCAATGAGTTTATGCTACCATGTTGACATCACATGACGAGTCATAATCATGCAATTTACTACAGTTTGATTATAAGATTAAAAGCATAGTGCTAATGAAGAGTTGTATTAGTACTATTTTTATTTGTTGGATTCAAATCCCACAGCCCTGGTGTAATTTATATTTATTTGCATAAATGATGATCAATAAAGCTCAACCATACTTGCTTGACGCGCAAGGAGAAACAGCACTGATTCTGTGACAAATGAGAATGACCCTATTGGTTTCCACACATCAAGCAAGCATCGTTTTCGTAACCAAATTTAAATTCTGCATGTATAAAGTGATTAAGTCTCTTCATAAGTCTTGGATTAAGCCTTTTAAATCATGTGGAATTCTTATTTTTTTTATTTCCTTAGATAATGTTTGTTAAGTAGACATTTTATGGGGCAGAACTATATAAAATTTGATTAAAAATATATTTGTGTTTTAGAGATGCATAAATTGCATAAATTCCTTGGTTTGAACTAATATGAGTGTGCGTACACCATTACAGAATTGTTATTTTGAGCTGAACCAGCACTCTAATGATAAAAAAGCAAGTAAATAAATTAATAAAATAAGTTGACGCACAGGTTTGTAAGCATCGTGATATGGCTATTTGTGTTGTATACAGTTAAATTAATTTAATATTTTATAAAATGTAATTGCGCAGTGCATTTTACAGTTATTTTAATTAATCTCTGCATACATTTTTGTAGGGTTGCACGGTTTACCGGTACAATGGTAGTATCGCAATACTATGGCTCAAGTACTGGCAGTGCCATTTTAGTTTGTAAGCGGTAGTATCGTCATTAATGGTTTATCTACAATACACAATGTTGCATGTGGAAAAGTCACTGAAATGCTCACACGGTTGTGCAACAATAGACCATTTTATTTTAATAGTCTGAGGAGCCCTTTAAAGTTGCAAAACTTGTGCCTTGTATGGTAACCTATTGCATGTTTTCAAATGCTTCGGTTCAAACTCACATCTGAATTGGTTCATTTTTGTGTTCCTCTTAATATGATTTAGTTGCTACAACAACTGCAATAATCCCTTAAAAACAAAAAAGCAGACTCAAAGTGAAATTTTTAATTACTTTGGATTGGAACTTGATAAGACTGAAGTAAAAAAGCTCTTTTGTAACAAATTTGATTTGATATCATTTGTATCTTTATTTTAATGTATTATTTGTTGGGCAGTTATCTACAAAATAAACAAAAAGAATTAATACATTTTAGGTGAAGTGATGTGCAAATAATACTTTTTGGCCTTAAGGGAATAATAAATTAAAGTAGGCCTATAATAGCTCTAAAATATAGCATTTCTGACCATTTTCTTTATAATTTGAATTATGAATTGCAGTATCGCAATACTACTTGGTATCGTGATACTTCAGCTGGTATAGGATCGTAAGATTAATTAATGGTATCGCAACAACCCTACATTCTTTTGTACACGACCATTTATGTGCTCAGACGTTAGAAGTGTTCACTTGTCTAAGCCTCCTCCTTTTGTTTGTGTGGCTTTCTGCTGAAGTGGGAGAAATACACACTGTCATGTCATTGCAGTCAGCATTTCGTCCTCCCATTACCATTGTTTCTATACCTCCGGGAAAAGAATAAATATCCAGTGATCTAATGTACACAATGACCTGTCTCTCATTGTGTATATTAGTCTTATTGAGAAGTACCATATAAGGTCTGAAACAGGAAATAAGCTCATGACGAGGAGTATTTTTTAATTAAATTGAGTTATTGCTCTAATTGGCCAAATGGCTTTCCTTGCAATGATTTGTTTGTTACTTGTCAAAACCAATCCTTATTTTCATTTTATATTTCCATATTATCAGTAATGTTCTAATCCATTGTGCAGTACAAGTAAAAAAAAAATAATCCAAAAGCCTGAGCTATAAGCAAATATCTTTAATATGACAGTAATTTAATGCTGTTGTTCATCCTTTATCTTGAAGGTTATACGTTAAAAACCTTTTACAGTTTTAGATTCAACATATGACAGTAATTATTTTGTGCCCTGTGTTTACTAAATATAGTTGAAGTCTGTGCTGCTGACCCGCTTGTTTTCTCTGTCTTTTGTCCTAATTTACAAACTTCTACTACAACCTAAAAGTGTGCAAAAGTACTTTTTTTTGTACAGAACTGGGATTCCCTGGCAAGATGCATAACAATGTCAGCTTTTGATAACTGTTATTGCTATTTTTAATTAATTTATTTTGCAGCCATACTTTAAATACATATTTTGCAATAAACTTAAATTATTGCTTTTACCTAATAACTTAAATAGTTCAGATTTCTTTATACATTTTTTTTTTTGATTCTCAGTGCTTCGGGCATTTGTAATTCATTTACCTTTTTGTGTTTTGGTCTGATTTTTATATACCACTTCAAATCAGTGTTTTAATGTTGTGATGCTTGGCGGTTTGGTTTGTCTTCTGGCGTTTCCGGCGCTGCTAAAACGAACAGGAAAGGTCCAGTTTGCATTATGGTTGTCAAAAGTAGTGACTTTGAAACCATTTGACAATAAAATTTTAAAAACACCCATTTCACACTAAGGGCTGAGACACACCAAGCCATTGTCGGCCATTGGGCTTCTTTGATCTGTCAAGCCTGGTAAAAAAATAGGCTTTTTTTTTTTTTTTAAAAAGCCTGCAAAAGTAGAGACCCTAGTACACAATTACAGAAATATATTTTTCCACCAGTCATAGGTTTTACGCTGATGTATATATTACAATTTTGAATTTAAAACAATTTATTAACCATAATCAAGAAACTATAATCATAAAACTATAATCAAGGAACAAATTATTTCTTTGATAACTGGAAAAGAATATTTGAACCCATCGGTTTACAATTGGTTTACTGATGCTTGTTTTTCTTGTCTTTATTGGTGATAATGGTCAGTAATGTTGGACCATTACTTCCTTTTTAGCATAACGATAGAACAGAAACTAGACAGACAGAAATGTGTGAATTGTGGAAAGGGCTAAGTCTAAAGAAATCTGTATTTTTTAGTAAGTGTACTTTTTTTAGAGCAACCCATGTTCTGTTATCATTAATATTTTAAGAAAATTTATTAGGTAAACTGTCCAAAATATGAACAAAAGCAAGTGATGCATTAAAGTTTGATAAAAAAATCTTAAATGGTTATAAAAACAAGAATAATAAAAAAACATTTAGTTTAAAAATCTTCAATTATATTAATGATATACTGTAGTCCCGGAAACTTTCTACTTCCGTCTGACTTTGCGGTCGGTTTCTTTTGACCGCCCCCTGTTGTTTTAAAGAATATGACAACGGCGAACGGGGCGGGTAAAAAGCCTTGTCCATTTCTTGAGATGCGTACGCAGTCAGCGGGCATGTGCGGTGTGGCGCCAGGGGAAGTATAAATCCAGCTTCACTTAGCGTCCACACATTGCCTCTCCTTGGGTTAACATTGGAGCTCTTTGGCCTGATTCAGCATTGTTATTCCACACTGGTTATTCAGCAACAAATCTGAGTGAAAATACTTAGCAAGTAAACAATTAAAGTCAAGCAGGAACACAAATAGGCCAGCTATAATTTTCCTACATTTATCTAATATTTTAAAACGATATGGATTATTAGAAGGCAGCAACACGGTTTGGTTTTGATTGCCATAGGAGAAATCGTCGTGCCCAACTGAGCCTGATTTCTCTTAGGGTTTTTTTTTCTTCACTTTCGCAAAATGGTGAAGTTTGTTCCTTGTAACTGTTGTCACTGGCTTGCATTGTACAGGACTTGTGGAGCAGCGCATTGATGGATTTGCTTTTCAGTGTTTGGACTCTCAGCAGTGAAAATGACCCACACTGAACTTAACTGAACTTAGGCCCCGTTTACACTAATGCGTTTTAGTTTGAAAACGCATAAGTTTTGCTACGGTTACGCCATCCGTCCACACTACGCCGGAGTTCTCGAGCGCCGAAAACGGAGCTTTTTGAAAATGCTGGAGAGGCCGTTTTCATTCTGAAACGCTGCTGCTCCGTCTCAGTGTGGATGGGGAAAGACGGAGACATCTGAAAACGGAGGCGGGGCTGCAGACATTCGCCTCTCTGATTGGGGCTTTTCCTCAATATTAAGTAGCCTAACACACACAGTTCAGTCCTGAATCTTCTCCGTGTAAGTTTAGACTTCGCAAGTTTGATCAAGGCTGCATCTCTTCTTCTCAGTTTGATATGGAAAACATACCGAGGACACGCGTCAATCTTCACAGGGAACAGTGTAACGTTACTTTATAACTTCATTCACATCACCTTGGCTACGTTGTTTCACTTTCTCAACAATAAAATGTAAACTTGATATAAGGAACTGCCTATTTTTATTTTAATATTAACAACTAAACAGACAGCAAAAATGTTGAGGCGTCGTGCTGCATGAGCGTCATCTTCACTGTGTAGATATTTATAACAAAACGGAGCCGATAACAACTGCCTCCTTTCAATTTCAGTGAAAATACGA